TTCCCCAATTCGGCTGCTGATCAGTTTTAGCAAGCGGCTGAATCAGGGAAGCTGAGGGCAGAGCAGCTCCAATGGTCCGGCTGCCCAGAGCACTTCCGGGTTCCTGATGGTGCCGGACCATCAGATGCCGGACCATTGGAGTTTTACTGTAGTAGATTGCAAAAAATTCCTACATCAATTTTAAACTGGGAATATCAAATGAAAACACTTAATATTGAGACTGGCCCTCAAGGAGTCCATAGGGTAAACAGAGATTATTGTGCCCTATGTCGAGTCTCACCCTTGTATACTTTTACTTGTGACAGGTGCACCCGAACCGGAATTCCAGTGACCCGGGCCGCTGAAGGAGTTTCCAAGAGAACCGTGTGAGGTCCAGTCCAGGCTGGTTCTTTTATAGATTTTCTTTGCTAACTTTTTTTTTTTTTTTTTTGAACAGCCTGCTGTTACCCAATGGTATACTTTTATTTTGCACACCAGCTTCAGAGGGTTTCAGTGGATTACTTCATTGTTCAATTTCATTGTTCAATTATTAAGTTAAAGGTGGCATGCCTCAATTTCCTTCTTGTACCACAGATCAGGTTTAATGTGTGATGCTATAAAGCTTTCTCCTTAGCACAAGGTGTTGGCCAGTTACTGTTCCAGCAAGCAAAATTTTCTTTTCCTGAAAAGAATCATATTCAACTTTACAGGTTTACTTATTAGCACTATGTTAATAATAATAATAGGAGCATTAATTTTTCAAATAGGTGCTTATGAATATCTTGTTTGTATTTGGACCACTTACTTCAGGGGACAGTGGATTTTATATTTCTGTGAAATAGTCAGGAAGTCTGTATTCACATGCAACTTGGGTTCTGAAAGCAAGCCAATAGTGTTATCAACTCAGCCTTGAACAGAGACACCATGAAGTTTCCGAGCTTGGATTCTTAAAGCAATTATTTGTTTTCTGAGAGAGTAAATTTAACCCTAAGGGTGCAGCTTTACAAATTTACAATGTATAGATTGCATTCTTTTATGCAGTTAACCAATTACGTGTCAATAGAATTCCTTATTTCCCCTTTGCAGATTTAATAGTCTGTAGCCAAATGTTTGAATTCAATTGTTTTAATAATCCAGGCAAAGAAAGAGGCTGCAATAAATCATTTTTTAAAGCAGGTTTCCTTCTCACATTACGACAATTGCTTCCTTCCACTCTCCCATGGAGTCACTTCTCACCTTCGCATACCCTTAATCACTTGGGGTATGTCTACACTACAGAGTTAGTTCGAACTAATGGATGTTAGTTCGAACTAACTTTAATAGGCGCTACACTAGCGCTCCGCTAGTTTGAATTTAATTCGAACTAGCGGAGCGCTTAGTTCGAACTAGGTAAACCTCATTTTACGAGGATTAAGCCTAGTTTGAACTAGCTAGTTCGAATTAAGGGCTGTGTAGACCCTTAATTTGAACTAGTGGGAGGCTAGCCCTCCCCAGGTTTCCCTGGTGGCCACTCTGGCCAACACCAGGGAAACTCTATGCCCCCCTCCCGGCCCTGGACCCCTTAAAGGGGCACGGGCTGGCTACGGTGCCCGTGCCAGGTGCAAGCCTGCCAGCACCCAGCCAGCAGACCCTG